TATCATTCACTAATTTTTAATATTATAAAAAATAGGTCTGCCTTTTCTCTATCTGTTGTTTATCGTGTGTTAGCGATATTTAAATATATGATAACTAGACTTGTGAAATTTTTAAGTAAAATAATTGAAATTTCGCAACATCGTGCATGTAGAATTTAATTTTGGAAATTTCAAACCGAGCGCTCTGAAATCGTGTAAATCCTTTAAGGTTATCGTACACATTGTAAATCACTAATCAATAGTACCTATATTATTCAATGAGCAGGTAATAATGGAGATTACTCACGAAGATGAGTTTAAACACGAGCCGAATGGCGAGTATGTAATTTATCTGAGTGAATAATCACCATTACCCGCGAGTGGAACACTATACTTCTACGACGATTTAATAGTACATCAAATTTACAAACAAAAATTGTATTCGCAATTTATTATTTAGTCATTTTTGTGACAAAATTAAAAGTAAAATTGGAACAGTTTGTAAAATTTATTGTTGGAAGGTTTTCCTTCGCTGTGGACGACGTGTAGGTACTTGTACGTTCTTGCTTTGACATTATATGGGCCATTTCTTCTTGAACCGTATCGCCAAAGAATTCTTGCGCTGCTGATGACGTAGATGCGCACTGAATCGACTGCATAAGTTTATTTGCCGTATCCCTGGGCCAATGAAGTGGACCGCCACCCACCATGCCTTTTTAATGTCGTAATATCTCCACCCTCGTCCACCAGTATAGTCGCAGAGGATCTTCTGAAGCAATGTCCCGTGTATTTTTCGGAATTCGGTAGATTTAAATATGCGATTATTTGTTTCTCACTCCAAATTTATTTATACCAATTTTTTGTCCCGTACATTTCCCCTTTGGTAATTTAAAACAAAAGAAGCCTGTGCAGCAGCCGGGCGAAGATTAGTATATTTTTTACAAATTTCATAGAATTTATCAGTTACCGTAAATTTTCGAACTATTTTTGTTTTGGTTTAAGGGATGGTTACAAAAAAAAGCAGATCCAATGTCTTTTACAACTTTAACCTGCATCAAGTGTAGTTCGTTTGCTCGACATGATTAAAGCAACTTTAAAAATTGTTTCAATTAATATTTCATTTATAGTCAATAAATGTTTTAACTTCGTCGCAAGATATATGTCGTCTGGTGCTTCGGTGATAAATATGTTTATTTCATGTGAAGTAAACGTTTTTGCTTTGTTTGGTTGAAAACCTTCTCCTTTGCACAATTTAAAGTATGTTGCTATATTAATCCCACTATTTAGATCCATTCTACTTCTTAGCACAGAATAATTCGTCCATAAAGATGACGGTTTGTACTTTTCGGATAGTTCTCTAAAATATGTGAGGAAGACATTTTCAGAGAAGGACTTTACTTTTCTGTTTAATCGCCATGAAGGCCTGGTACACAGCTTGACATTTCCTCCTAGATTTTTCTGGCAACAAGTTTAATGACGTTTGTTTTGTCGCTTTTACTATACTTCAGGCATAATTTCTGAAGCGAGGGTTTATACCACGTCCCCGTGGTTGTGCAATTAATCGCCTAGTTTGAAATTTCGAACCTCATGATTGGCTACGCCTCCCGTGAGTAATAATTACTCACTGACAAGAACCAATAGGAAGAAGCTTTCCAAATTATAGGTACTCACTGGTGTGAGTACCTATAATAATAACATTCGTGAGGAATTTTGCCAACTAAAAACTAATTAATAATCCTTATATTATTCAACAGGAGTAGGAAAAAAAATGTATTTATTCAAAAAACAAATTTGATTACGTGATCTCAAATTTTTCTCATATACCTACATCCTGTTTAAAATATAAACATTACACTGTACCTATCAAAACTGATATTTTGCAGTACTTAAAAGTTGATGTCGTAACAAAATTATGTTAACTAAAACTGATTCTCATCCTGCATCTTTATCTGTAGTTTTTTAAGCTACACTTATTTTTATTTTATTTTGGGGTAGGGCTTATCTCAAAAAATATAAAATTTTGACATTAATTTGTCAATTTTGTTTCCTACTATCTAGTACAAGTCTAGAATTTATTTTTGTTTATCTAAGATATGCCATCTTGTTATTATAATCACTGCAACTTGTTTCCTAGTATGATACGGTACTGTTGATTAATCAGAGTACAGTGTTTTTTTTTTACCAACAAAATATGCATCACTATTCTCAATAACTGTTTACCCAGTTTTGTACTGACCACTGTAATAGGTATTAGCAGCATACAATTTTTAAATTTCTAATTTAGGTTATTTTTGGAATAAAAAGTCATATCGTTGGAAACACCAAACTTTTGTAAACTTCAGAAGTAAATGTTCAGTAATTTTGGTTGAAAATTCTTTATTTAATGCCATAATTACAATGGTTTTCATTGAAAATCAAAAAACTTACATACTATTCAAAAATGGATAACAATGCCATTATTAAGTTGACCGATTTTATGTTAGATGCACCCCGTATGAAAAATAGGTTTCTAAAGCCCAGCCTGCCTAGACTAGAAATTTAGAAAATCGCATGTAATATCGGGCCATCAACTTTATTGTAAGTGAGCCATCCTAGGAATTGAATCAGTATGCCTTCTCTGAAATGATATCTTTAATGCTGCGTCTAAAGTTACGTCATTTAAAAGTTTCTAACAAAACTAAGGCAATTTTCCAACTATGGTTATCTATTGTCAGTAGTTTTTGGACACATTTGATGACCGACTGTTGGAGAAAACTATGTTTACAGACGAAGCCTAGTTTAAATTGAGTGGTTACATTAATTCTCAAAATATGAGAACATGAAGCACAGAAAATCCACAATTAGTCTATGAGCAATAGTAAAGCCTTTATTTATTGAGGGTAATCATGGAAACAATAAGTATGTGATTAAGTAATTCAGTGTAAGCCTTTCCAAGGGAAACTTAACCACTACTAGAAATTCAGCAAGAAATTTTGGCAAATTTTATACCACAACTTCACGATCGGCAGCATCGGCTAGGACCACAAAAGCTATGATACGGACTTTTCTGACAACCGGATCATAAGTCGAAATACAGGGAATTTACCCTCAAGCTCTTGTGTTGAGATCTTTTTCTGTAGCTCTCTTTTAAGGACACGTGTCAACAATTTGGAGCAGTTAAGACTGAAATTAATAAAGGAAATTACAGACAGATAATAACGTGATGTTCAGACATGTGATCCATAAAGTTCGACAAAGTATTCATTCATGTTTACTATTAAATGGGCAACATTTTCAGTACTTATTATAATTTAATTTTATTTGTTTAATAAATTGAATTAATCCTGTACCAATTTTCTTTGTAAGTTCCCACTCATTTTATTAAAAAGCTTATTAAATAAGTGTCTGATTTTTTGATATTTGTCAATGTGGTTTAATCAATGACATTATATATCCTTTCCAAGGATGACTCGATTACACATTATGTTGATCGCCAACATTAGGACTATATTCTATCTGTATTTTTAGTAATAATTACGAAAATCTAACAAAAAAAAACAATGTTCTTATCATATTGAGTGCACAAATAAAACTCGATGAGCATAGGCATACGCTTTAATTTTAGAAATCCTATAAACAATGTATTGTTTTTTCCAAAACGGGAATGACTTCCACCTTTTTAAAGTTAGATATAACCTTAAGTGTACCTACATTTTACAGAAGTAAAATGAACAACATCAAAAAAAGCAAAAGCTTTTTGGGATTAATGATAAGTTTTAAATTGTTAAATTGAAACTATAAATATACAGTAATTTACGGAAAAAAAAAGAAACAAGTGTACTTCTTTTATACTTTTCTACTTGCGACAGTTTTTTTAAGAAAATCTGATCGTAATAAATAATAAGTAAGTTACCTAAGGCAAATAATCTTCCGTTCAAGGTTTAACATTTTTTGACAAATTAAGTTTTAAAACCTGAAAGCTAAAATTTCGTCAATAGATTAATTAGTACGTGTTCTTTCTTTAAATATGATAATATGTCAACAGTGATGACTTGTTGACATTTTTATAAATATGTGTGGATGACAAGATTTGGAACATATTGCTTCAAATATTGCCATATGCTAATTTGCTATATAAAGTAAAATTAAAAATCTTTTTATTTAGTTATAAACAAGTTTTACTTGTTATTGAATAATAAGATGATAATAATAATGTTAATAAAGAAATTTTCATTTGTCATGTCTTGAATAATTTTTATATTCAATTTTATGTTATCATTAAAATTGTTGTTATTTTATGTTTTTAATTAAAATAGTTGACATTATTATTTTTTTCATTATTCCTTTTATTATCGCGGTTCTTCTAAATATTACCTCCGGCAATAATAGGAACACAACGGATGGCAATATAAGGAACACTGTAGTTATTAAACTTTAGAAAATATGCAGCTCTTGTTTGTTTAAGTTCGGGTTAAAAAACACGAACGTATCGTGACAGAACATGAAAAGGGCTATGTTATGACAAAGCAGCACAGTTGTATTGCCTTTACGTAGTATAAAATTAGAATAAAATGATGGCTTCAAGTTCCTGAGAATTTTCACAATTATTAATTATTATTTCAATAGCCCAAATAGGTCTATCATCAGATTGTTACTTCCGGCGATATATGCTCCAGTTACATACCTACAATTTAGGTGTTTTTTTTTAGTCCTAACAGTATTAAGAACATGACAACATATGGCGTAGTTATCTTTATTAGCATTATTGGTTATTCTTAAATTAATACTTAAGTTATTGATCTGTCTATCTGTTTCTAATTTTGCGTTGTTGCCAAAACATTACAGCAAATAAAGTTGCTAGTATTCCACCATTTTCGTACTTAAACACTACTCCCACAACTAATTGTCCATCGCTGGATTCGTCTAAGAAACAATAACCTCACCAGCATTGTAATCAGTCCGACCATTTATCTTCACTTTGATTCCTATGTTTTATTAACACTACCTAACCGGCAATTTGAAATGGATATTTAATGACTTACCCGGGACGAGCCTGGGTCCGTTGATGGTGGATAGTGTAGTTCCACTGCCATACTTGACGTGACAAGGATCGGCGTTGCTGGATACGACAGCGATCTCATCAAGCTCGTGGTTGTCCCCGGGGCCCAAAGCACCACCTCCGCCATGTCCCACCAGCCGCCCGACCGAACTATCATGTGACTGCTTTCGGCCCCGCCAACTCAGCACCAGTCGTTTGGCAGTGGACATCACGCCATGTTCTAGCGTGCCCCAGGGTATGTTGCCCGCCACGTGGATGACTTCCACCAAACAAAATATACCTCAGTGGTCACTAACGGCTCCCTGTCTGCGTCATCATCGACCGGAACGATGAGAACAGACGAGAATGACATCGCGATTTTATTGGCTTGCCAAACGATTTCAGCAGTGCAAGTTTTTTTAAGATCGAAATATTCCTGGCTTTTTTCATTTGACGGGCTGTGTACGAACCTCCTTTCTGATTCGGTTTAATTGACGATTCCATCTGAAACGAAAGCATTTAATTAACTCCTAATGCACCCCAAACACACGTGGCAAGATCAAGCCACATGCATACAGAATGTCCGGTGATCATTACGTCGATCTGCCGGCTGCTGATTGACCGGAAAAAAGTATTCGACTTCTCTTATTCGAGGCATCGTTTTTGAGATATACATTCCCGAAGATTTTTTGTCGTAATTTTCAGACGTACTAATTACTTCAGATTAAATTTTTGTAAATAATATAATTGTACTTTTAGCAAATTTTCCTTGAATTTTAGAAATTAGAAATACACCAGAACAAAAAAAACTTTCTTAAAAGTGACTGACTATAGGAGCAACTTTTAAAGTATTTCAGTTTGTTTGAGTGTTGTGTGAGTATTTTTCGATACACTTACATTTTGTTCGAGTTAAAGAGTTCTCATATCTAACGTTGCTTTCTGCGTATTCATTTTGTTCGCAGAGTATTTTAATTTAAGAAACTTTAGCAACATGATATCTAGTTTAGAGCTGTCAGATCTTACTTATTTCACTCTTTCACGGATATAGCTACCAGTTATTTCAGTCAGGAGGTATCATTTTAAACTTTAATGAACTAAATCTCTTCGGACCAAATTAGGAAAGCACCCAATAGTTATTTACCGTACATCTTGACCAACTACGTCTGACTACGCTTTGATAAGAACTTTTGTTTGACCAATAGAATGTACATATTGATGAAAGATTTTGTTCTACCGTTTACAGCTTTCAGCATCCGAAGGTGACAAACAAACACAAATAAAGTGACGTCATCAACAATTTTCCCAAGACACGTATATCACATTGGTTAGGTGTAGTGTGATACTAATAATAACAGTATTGTATTCCCAAATTTGTGGCATGATTACGATAATCTGAAAATATTTACAAGATTTCAGAACAATTGGTTTTGCAGTTTGAAAGTTATATTGTAAAATATTGTTATTCAGTTCTTAATTTTTTCCAAAAATTCTGAATGTCTAGGATGAAAATTCGACACGGATTCACACACCACAAGTGCAGGAGTATCTTATTTGATGAAATTAAAAAAACTTTTTATTATAAATTTTGATGAGATGACATCCCATTGGTGGTGGGAATAATTAGCTAAACGCTTATAAAAAGGTGTTTGAATTTTTTTTTGAAAATTTTGATACATCGGATAACAACTCAATGCGGCTTCATAAACTACAAGTACAGAAGTGTGTTACTGCAAAAAATTTAAATATGTATTTCCAAAAAAAAAATCAGAGGATGACGTCAAATTCTAGATGAGGATGATTAGCCAAATTTTGCTTAGCGTTTCACCAGCTACATGATATTCCTAATATACATACAAAATTTGATAACAATCAGTTCAGTGTTTTCGGAAACTAACTGTCTAATAAAAATTGACACACATGACAGACAGACGAAAATGGGGGATCACTTTTTTCGTACTCTAAGGATCCTGCAACATGGAGTAAATATGATACTGGCAAGTTGCCCGATAGATTCGATTACTACACTTCCTTAGCTTACGTACGGGAAGTAAAAAAACTCCGTTTAGACTAAACTAATGCTGTAAATTTGCGAAAATTCTTTGGTATAAATTTTTCCCTGCCGACTAAAGCGTGATAGAGTGAACTTTACTACCCCTCCCCCCCCCCCCCCATGCAAACTTGAGGTCATCATCTCAATTAAATTCGCAAATAAATTCGACTTAAAGTATGCAAAATATGATATGAGTCTATACCTACGATTTATCATTGCATTTACATATATTTTTTAGAATTGCTTATAGAGGGTGATAAAAAAATTAATGAAAGAATCAATTTATTTTATTAATTGAATCAGGGACGGTTCATTCCATTTTACATTTTACAGAAAATGCTGTTATTATCACCATTAGAGCGGAAATATCCAAACTGATATACGTGTCCTTGTAAAAATAGTAATGAATTTATCACAAAATTTTGTAAAAAAGAAACTCATTTGAAACATACAGTTAGCACGCTTCTACTTAATACTGAATATACCGCGTGTCTGGAAAATGGCGGATTAACTCTTCAGTACGTTATATACGGGACTTTCAGGAGTCCCAAAAAAATAATAAAAAAATTCTTTACGATGTAGATTACGAAAAAAAACGTGATTTTATAAAAGAAAAATTGGCAACACAGCACACACCTAATGCGTGAATACCTCCGGCTTACTTTCTGGTTTCTTAGTAACGATGGTGACTGAAATCCACCTTCGCTTTATATCAGGCAAACATTGTGGTCAAATGGAATTTTATCAAATTATTACAAAAACAGCACAGCCATATCTTTGTGCATTCTAACTGAAATTGTAATTAAACATGGTCATGGGCGAGAAAAATATTAACTAAAAGTTTTATTACTAGTTATTGTGATAATGAATGAGTTGTTTAGTTGTTGAACGTAGCAAAAGAACCAATTTTAAAATGATTAGAACTCCACCAAAATGTGAGAAGGATTTTTTTAATTATTTTTCCCAGACTCACCAGCTGATTGTTAAGAGCGTAGCGGGGAGTTAATCTGCCATTTTCCAGACACCCGGTATATCGTTATTGTAGGTTAGAAAATAATTTTAGCAATCTCATCGTGACGTACGATGACGTCACTATCACGTGAGCTACCTGAGCAAAGTTCACGTCTTTCGGTCCTTTGTATTCAGTTTTGATTTCTGTCTGGTGGCAGCAACATCGGAACTCCATTTTAGTTTAAAAGCAGCACATGTCCGCGAATTTCTAATTTATTGCTAATAAATATTAGCGAAAATCTTTTACGTTAGTACTGTTAACTAACAAGACGGAAAGTGGATATTTTTCCAAAAATGCGCGAAAACTGAGTACATACGAAATGTGTTATAATTTATCGAGGTCCGTGATTTGTATATTCGACAAATATCAAAAAATTATAAATTATAAATTATCATGACACAGTAAACAATATCTGGTCTGGTGGCAGCAACATCGGAGCATTTGGAGACCCGTTTTGGCTTAAAAGTAGTACGTATTCGTGAATTTCTAATTTGTTATTAATAAATACTAGTGAAAATGTTTTGCCTTACTGCTGTGAACATGAAGGAAAGTGGATATTTTACCAAAAAAGCCCGAAAACAGAGTAAGTACGATTTGAATTTGAATTTATCGGGGTCCGTGACTAGCATATTGGACAAAATAAAAAAATTATAAATTATCATGACACAGTAAACAATATTTAAACATAATTAACATTATTTATACAGTTTAAATGTGATAAGTATTAATAAGTCATAATTAAACAGAAAACCGTTTTCCTACAAACATGAAGTTATTAAAAACAACTCAAAATGTTTAAATTTTGTTTAATTAACACCAACAAAGTGGAATTTTCCTGTCAAAATATGAAAAATAATTTTTGCAATCTCATCGTGCCATACGATGACGTGACTGTCAAATTAGCTACGTGAACAAGGTGGCGTTTTTCGGTCCTTTATGTTCAGTTTTCATTTCGATCTGAGAGCGACAACTTCGGCGTGTCATTTTGGCGTAGAATTAACGGGTTTTCGCGAATTGCTAATTTATTGTTAATCAATCAATTCAGTTTGTTTAAAACATTGTTAAATTAATTGATCACTTCCTAATTTTACCCCGCAATATAAAACTTTATTCTTCTTAAATATTTTTCGTCTCTAGTTTGTAAAAAATCATGTTTCATCTGTTGAGGTATGATCAGGCACCAAATAGATCCGCTTTTTCACACCAGTAGGATTGAGGTAGACAGTGTTGGGGACAGATACTTTTAAAAGTATCTAGATACAGATTGTTTTCGATTTTTTCGAAATGTATCTAGATACACATACAAAATACTTTTTGAAGCTTTGGCGAATAAAATAACTGAAAACATGTTTATGTATTTTTTTATGTATTGTTTAATAAATTTTTTAAAATTAACAACATTTCGAACGTATTGTTACCTAAATTATTTCTTCTTGGTGTGAAAATTTGGTTTCCGCTACTAAACACCCGTTCCACAGGTGCAGAAGAAGGGATTGTGGTATTAAATTTAAAAAATAAACACTTTACTGTAGCATGGTTATTCAACACTGAAAATGTTTTTCTTTTTTCCTGCAAATAGGCCATCGCTTCGCTCTTTGATGTGTCGCAAATTGTGAAATATTTATTATGTACGCTTAAAAAGAATATTTTTTTTGTTTTTATTCCCATATTACAGTATCCAAATTATGTTTGAGTAGGTATATCTAATAATTATCTCCAGCATTAAAATTAATATTTCAAAAGAATACGGGTAATGATTATTCTATGCTGAAGGTCTGTTGTCGGCAACCTGTCATAAATTATTATTTTTCAATATCGGCTTACGATGTTTTTATGACCATGTCCGATAATCGTCTATCCCGGTGCGGCAGGTATATACATTTTAGGACGAATTGCTGGTTCCGTTTAAAAAGGCAAAATAAGTACAATTTCTTAGAAAGGTATTTAAACCCCTTATAGGATTAAAGGCTGCCTGGCAGGCCGGAATCACCAGAGTGCAACTTTAAATTTTCAGATTTTTGTTGAAACTCATTTTATTTTAATCTCGTTTCACGATTTCTGAGAATATATCACGATAAATTATTCTACCGAGGGTTGTAAAAATATTAACTTTATTGCCCAAGATTTACACTTAAACATAATCGACACATTCTAGGGCAAAACGGACCTACCAAGCCCTCCTCGCGTTAGGTCCAACAATATAAAAAGTGAAGAAATGACACATGTGGCAACAGGAAAAAATGCTACATTTGTCTGAAAAATAAAGGTATAAAACAGTAACAAATATGCGATTTATGCGAGAGAAATGTATGTATTGAACATTTGATTAGTCGATTACAGAACTAATTTGTGTTAATTGAAAAAATTAATTATTATGTAACACGCAATTATTATTTTCTAAAAATAATAACATACCTTAAACAAATATTTTTACTATTAAAA